CCAGGGACTTACGATGTTCCAGGGACATACGATGTTCCAGGGACTTACGATGTTCAAGGGACTTACGATGTTCCAGGGACATACAATGTTCCAGGGACATACAAATGTAGGTTTGAATCCAGCTTCACACTGATTATGTTTAATAGGGGTGACTATTGAGGGGGAAACAACTATTGGGATAGCGATAGTCTATTGCAACATGCTATTGCGATAGCGATAGTCTATTGCGACCAACTATTGCAATAGTTTTTTCTCTCCTTGAATTGTCTCATTTGAAGTCATTTCCCAAATGAATATAAAGTTTGTATGAAATAAAAACAAGCTGAACTAGTTTCAGTCTCTTCTTGAATAGCCTAGTCATTTGAAGTCATTTCCCGGGTTCGATTCCCCACATGGGTAATGAATATATAGTTTGGTGTGAAATACGTGATATTGCTGAAATATTGCTGAACTAGTTTCAGTCTCTTTCAGTCTCTTTTACTAACTGACAAGAAACTTGCAACCCAGATCAAGATTGTTCAAGAGGTAACAGGGGCGGATAACTCTAAAGCAAAGTGAACAAATCTGGTACTTCCTGTATTTTGCACTGCACAATTATCAACGGAAGTCAATTACTAAACTACCAATTGTCACACATGCTTAAATTGATGCATCCATAGTTTTTCGTTTCTATCATCGATTAATTGCTATCGGAGACTCTACAACTGCAATCCACCGATTGTTCGATGCATCGTTACTGACCTAATATTTGAGGTCTGTCAGCATCGTACCCTTTCTTGTGTGTCTCACGAAAGTAGAAACGTGAAGATCTGCATCACTTCAGTCTTTCCACCCACATCCAGCTGACATTCTGTCATATAACTGAAAAATTGTTCAAAGTGGCTGGAGCCCTAACTCTTTCACTTAAAACTTAAAAATTAAACCTAAATTCAGATGGCAGTCTCTACAAACAAACTCTCTGAATTATTTTTATAATATTCTGTAGCTGACACTGACAAATGTCTAAGCCCAAGCTTCTTTCCTGCAGATATTCTTATTCGACATATCTTTTTACAATGATTGCCAACAATCATGAACCTGTGATGGCATCTTAGATCATCATTTTCTCAAAGACCCTCATATTTCCCAGCTGTGTGTAGCTGTATTGCTTAGCTAGGATATATCTAGCAATAACAGCCATGTTTTATAGATAGCCTCTGATGCTACACAGACAGCCATAATCCAGTATTACTTCCTCTGTATAATGATTCTACTCACATCTCTCGGTGTGATATTAGTTACAAGGCACCATCCAATTATCAAAAGCAGTTTTTATTTTCATTTTAATACAATTCATGGTCTACAAGACTGATGCAGAGAATTGTTCATGAAGTAACTCATATGAGCCCCTGCAGATGTTCCATGCAATCAATGTTTGGGATGCTAGTTGTCTGGCTAATTCAAACTTCAGTGTTTTCTGCCTACAGAAATAACATTGCAGTATTGCTGTAAACAATCTTGTACATCAATATGCAAGGCAGCCGGAGGTGGGATAAGAGAGAATGTGATATGTGGAAGAAATTGTATGCTTTTGCATAATTGACATTCAAGTGATTTTTATGCTAATGAAAAGATCAAATTCACACAGAAATATCTTTCATTAGGTCATTTTAACCTTTATTGCGAGATCAGCAGAATATTCTGTTCCCCCTTGCCTAGACTTGCCTATCCCCTGTTGTTTACATGTTAGATCTCTGTGCATACCCCTGACAGGATGGCACCATAACTCATGTGACCTAATGACATATCTTATATCTGTGTTTTGAAGTAGGTACCACTGCAAAAGTAAATATGAAAATCGATCATTCAATCCTACAGTAAATAGTAATTGAGGTATTTATCCCAAAGGCAATGAGAAACCTATTGACATTTATTACATCTCGTTAATTGGAGACCCTTAAGATGAGACTACACGATTAGTAGCTAGTGGTAGTAAGACCGTGCTTAAGCACTGTGAATGTTGACTTACTGCGTTTAGCATTATCTTCGTTGAACTGACAGACCCATGCCATGTGTGCTGCTGTTGAATTATGGGAGTGAGTTGACTAATCCCCAAAACTTATTGGGGGGCAGAGGCAGTTTGGTAGCCCAGTGGTTAAAGCGTTCACTCGTTACGCTGAAGACCCAGGTTCGATTCCCCATGTGGGTACAATGTGTGAAGCCCATTTCTTGTCAGAAACCAGTGATCATGGTTTCGTCAATCCTGGTTTGCCCAAACTGAGTGTCTAGGTTTGTTAGCACCAGATCCATGCTCAGCTATTACTTGTGTGGTACTACCTAGTGTGAAGATCAGGATTAGATTTGGTCTTCAGTAGCCCATGCTTGTCGTAAGAGGCGACTAATGGGATCAGGTGGTCAGGCTCGCCGACTTGGTTGACACATATCTTCGTATCCCAATTGCATAGAAGAATGCTCATGATGTTGATCACTGGATTGTGTGGTCCAGACTTGTTTATTTGAAATATTGCTAAGTGTGGCAGTAAAAAGCATACAAGCAGCCATTTGTATACAATCCTACAACATAGTCATGATAATGATTCTCACAGAAGTACTGACTTGTTAAAAAATACTTAACTTACCATGTAAATTATGTTGAATTTGGTTGACACATGTCATCGTATCCCAATTGCGTAGAACAATGCTCATGATGTTGATCACTGGATTGTCTGGTCCAGACTCAATTATTTTCAGACCTCCCCCATATAGCTGGAATATTGCTGAGTGCAGCGTTAAAGAACCAACCAACCAACTAATGTGCTTCACATCATATATCGGCATCACTTCATTAAAGTAGCATGGCATGAGATACCTGGAAGACTGTTCAAAGCAGAGTTAAACCAAATTCACTCACTCACTCTTGGCTTAATTGGCTTAAATGAGTATCACAAAGGCTCTGTTGTGTGGTATTTGTATCAAGAATATGAAGCTTCATGAGGGGTGATGGATAGTCACAGTTAGGGGCTGACATGCATTACAAGGGGATTTACAAACCATTATGACATCATAAATTGTTCAACTTCTTAAACTTTTTGCCATACTTTTTAGACACTGCTTATTACTATTAATGAACTTAAAAGGTTGGAAGATTTATTATGGGTACAAAATATACCTTTGTGTCTTTTGATATCTAATATATTTATGATCACAAGTTGATCAAAGTTTAAAATTCTTTGGCAAGTGCTTGATGTATGAAATATGCATCTACTCGTGTCGATATAATTGATATAAAAAGACACTTGGAGGAGATTCTGTATTTAGCCTGGCTCCTCTGTTTGGTTGTATTATATGACTACATGTTGTATTTATGTGTACAAATTGAATGACAGTCCTGTCATTTGTTCCTCGGGCCATATTTCTCCACTCCTTATATCGTGATAGTGGGATTGCTTGTAAATAGCATTTCAGTTTAAGCAAACATTAACAAACCCTTGATATATAAGGTCGTGACACAGAACGAGAAGAAAAGAGTCTGGAATTATCACAGCAAATTCCCGTTGTGATTTCTATTTTGAAATCAATTGAGGTCATGCAGAGGGTAGGCACCACCGCTTTATTTAGCTATTTGATGGAAATACCTGCATATGTTAATGCTAAAACTGAGATTTATCCAGCTCTGTGATGTCGGATCAAGGCGAAAGGGGCGGCAGATTTAGTTACAGAATTGCTTACCTTACAAAGACTGAAGATAATTTTCTCAGACAAATCATTCCAATATACAGGGGCACAAAAGAAAAAGTAAATGTTGTCAGGGTTGGTTAATTTCCTGATAACTTATTTTGACCTAAAAAGAAAACATTTAAAATCAGATACCAATTACCCAATATGCACAAAGCTCAGTACCTTACTATATTGCTTATCTCCCTTGTCTATAAGAGCATAAAGAATCAGCTCCAAAGTTCAAAGTCAGATGGAAAGTTTTATTCTTATTTTCAGACAGACCCCCACTCACACTCAAAACTTGATTGTGATAATAGTGACATGTTTTTTTGTCTAGCGAATTCTGCTTCACAATGATTTATGAAGCAGGGCGTGGGTAGAGCTATTGATATGTCAAGTTTTTGCACAGTATATTTTCAAGCTCACCAGACTGAAGGTCAAGATGGGCTGTGTCATGGGCTGTAAAGTGTCTGGCATCCGCCATGCCTAATCTGTCATGCTTGTAAACATCATGTTCCATGTCATGTAAACGTCTCACTGAACACCTCACCAATGAAGCTAAAGCTTCAAATGCTCGTTCCTACCATGATGACGGCCATATTTGTTCAAGAAGTTTGAATCTGATTTTCAATATGGCTATCAGACCACATCAGGTGCATTGAAAACATGTCGATACTCAGTTATGTTCGTGTAATGCAATGAAACTCAGTTTCCTTTCAGTTATTTGTGAGATTCATCACATTGTTCCATATTTGGCAGGTTTTTTTTCGCTGAACTAAATTGACCATGTGTTTCCTTCTCTCTTTGTCCGACTAACGGGATCGTGTGGTCAGGCTCGCTGACTTGTTGACACATGTCATCGGTTCCCAATTGCGCAGATCGATGCTCATGCTGTTGATCACTGGATTGTCTGGTCCAGTCTCGATTATTTACAGACCGCTGCCATATAGCTGGAATATCGCTGAGTGCGCGTAAAACTAAACTCACTCTCTCTTTGTCCCTGTAAACTCTGCCTCCTGAAATAACTAGACTATGGCAGTTGGACCTTGGTATATATGTTTCTCCTAATAACAACGTCATATTTTCTTCAGATCATTTCAAATACTACCTGTTAGACCTCAATATTTAAATCGTGCATTCACTGATCCAGTAACCAGGGTAATAACAATGCAGAGCCATAAGTGGAGTTTGGCTCATATATATGGACCTGTTGTTGATGTGTTGTTGTTGTTGTTGTTGTTGTTGTTGTTGTTGTTGTTGTTGTTGTTATAATCATAACTATCTTAAGCTATCTTATATTACAGAACAATCTTGGCCTCGGAGGAGCTAGTGAAATATGACAGAGCGAGGGTATTTCTGGACGAAGACTATACTGCTGCAGACAAATTCACGGTGAGCTGCAGCAACACATTTATTAAGGGACGTTCTGTCTCAGTTTGAAATATGTATATGCTGATGAATCCACTGAAGTGGCTGTTTCATATGGTGACAGTTAAATATATCTCATTATGACATTTTCACTTTGAAATCATTCAAGGTATTCTTTACTTTTGATTTTTGGATTCCTGAGGTACACTTCAGATCACATAAAGATCTGACTTAGAAAAAGTCATCCTCCACCAATGCTTGTTGCAAGAGCTGACAAGCTGGACTGGCGATCAGGCTCACTGACTTGGTCAGTGCATGTTATCGTATCCCAGTTGCATGGCACACTGGCAATGAATCACTGGATTGTCTGTCCCAGACTCGTGTATTTGTAGACTGCTGTAATTGAGCTGTTGTTAAATGTGGCAGTAAAAAGCACACAAGCAACTATTTGTATACAATTCTACAATATAGTGATGATAATGATTCTCACAGAAGTACTGACTTGTTAAAAATTACTTAACTTACCTTGTAAATTATGTTGAAATGAGTACTATTGATAATGGTACAAATAATTTCAAAGCTGTAGATTTTGATATTCTTCATTTCCAGGCATACTGTTTGTTACTGTGATTAAAAAGAGTCCTAGGAAACATTATATCCCTTTTATCTGGATGCACTGAAACAGCCTGCTTTTTTATGATACCTGTTGTGCAATTTATAGATTATATACTGTCTCTGAGTTAACAAACACAGTTTTATTGTTTATCTAGCTAAACAAAGCCATTTATTTCTTTGCACTTTGCTAAACAGTCATCATATGTGCAATAGATATGAATGCAGAAGATGTAATTGTGTCACTTGTTGCAACTGATGTACTTAGGAAAAGAACACATTGCCTGGCTTGTATTGGAATCTGCATGTCTTTTCGAGAAAATATGTTAATGTCAAGACAGCAGCTTGTACGTTTTTCCTTGGGGTGTAACATTTTTCTGGTAATTTCATATAAACAAGTTTATGAATAGTCTTAATGCTTAATGGTAACCGTTCCACCAGCCAGAGAACTCTAGCAACATGGTTAATGGTAACCATTGGACCAATCAGAAGTTTCTAACAGGTTTAATGGTGACCTTTGGACCAACCAGAGGACTCTAGCAACACAAGGTTAATGGTAATCACTGAACCAACTAGAGGACTCTAGCAACAGGGTTAATGGTAATCGCTGAACTAACCAGAGGACTCTAGCAACACAAGGTTAATGGTAATCACTGAACCAACCAGAGGACTCTAGCAACACAAGGTTAATGGTAATCACTGAACCAACCAGAGGACTCTAGCAACACAAGGTTAATGGTAATCACTGAACTAACCAGAGGACTCTAGCAACAGGGTTAATGGTAATCGCTGAACCAACCAGAGGACTCTAGCAACACAAGGTTAATGGTAATCACTGAACCAACCAGAGGACTCTAGCAACACAAGGTTAATGGTAATCGCTGAACCAAGTAATCGCTGAACCAACTAGTGGACTACAGCTGGGGTTATTGGAAAAGATTGGACCAGCCAGAGGACTCTAGCAACATAAGGTTAATGGTAATCGCTGAACCAACCAGAGGACTCTAGCAATAGGGTTAATGGTAATCGCTGAACCAACCAGAGGACTCTAGCAACACAAGGTTAATGGTAATCACTGAACCAACCAGAGGGCTCTAGCAACACAAGGTTACTGGTAATCACTGAACCAACTAGTGGACTCTAGCAACACAACGTTAATGGTAATCACTGAACCAACTAGTGGAGTCTAGCAACACAAGGTAATGGTAATCACTGAACCAACCACTGGAATGTAGCAACAGGGTTAATGGTAATCACTGAACCAACTAGTGGACTCTAGCAACACAAGGTTAATGGTAATCACTGAACCAACCAATGGAATCTAGCAACACAAGGTTAATGGTAATCACTGAACCAACCAGAGGACTCTAGCAACAGGGTTAATGGTAATCGATGAACCAACTAGTGGACTACAGCTGGGGTTATTGGAAAAGATTGGACCAGCCAGAGGACTCTAGCAACACAAGGTTAATGGTAATCACTGAACCAGAACCAACAGGTACATGGAATCACTAACTAACACAAAGGGTTAATGGTGGTAATCAGCTGAACCAACCAGAGGACTCTAGCAACACAAGGTTAATGGTAATCACTGAACCAACCAGTGGACTCTAGCAACACAAGGTTAATGGTAATCGAATGAACCAACTAGTGGACCAACCACCAGAGGACTCTAGCAACACAAGGTTAATGGTAATCGCTGACCAACCAGAGGACTCTAGCAACACAAGGTTAATGGTAATCGCTGAACCAACCAGAGGACTCTAGCAACACAAGGTTAATGGTAATCACTGAACCAACTGAACCAACCAGACCAGACTCTAGCAACACAAGGTTAATGGTAATCCAACCTGGAACCAACCAGAGGACTCTGAACCAACCAGGACAGCAAAGGTTAATGGTAATCACTGAACCAAGCCAGAGGACTCTAGCAACACCAAGGTTAATGGTAATCACTGAACCAACCAGGGAGGACTCTAGTGGACTCTAGCAACAGGGTTAATGGTAATCGCTGGAACCAACCAGAGGACTGGTAATCACTGCAGACAGCAACAGGGTTAATGGTAATCACTGAACCAATAGCAAACAAGGTCACTGACCAACCAGAGGAACTAGCAACACAACGCTAATGGTAATCACTGAACCAACCAGAAGACTCTAGCAACACAAGGTTAATGGTAATCACTGAACCAACCAGAGGACTCTAGCAACACAAGGTTAATGGTAATCACTGAACCAACCAGAGGACTCTAGCAACACAAGGTTAATGGTAATCGCTGAACCAACCAGAGGACTCTAGCAACAGGGTTAATGGTAATCACTGAACCAACCAGAGGACTCTAGCAACACAAGGTTAATGGTAATCACTGAACCAACTAGTGGACTCTAGCAACACAAGGTAATGGTAATCACTGAACCAACCACTGGAATGTAGCAACAGGGTTAATGGTAATCACTGAACCAACTAGTGGACTCTAGCAACACAAGGTTAATGGTAATCACTGAACCAACCACTGGAATCTAGCAACACAAGGTTAATGGTAATCACTGAACCAACCAGAGGACTCTAGCAACAGGGTTAATGGTAATCACTGAACCAACTAGTGGACTCTAGCAACAGGGTTAATGGTAATCGATGAACCAACTAGTGGACTCTAGCAACACAAGGTTAATGGTAATCACTGAACCAACCACTGGAACTAGCAACACAAGGTTAATGGTAATCACTGAACCAACCAGAGGACTCTAGCAACAGGGTTAATGGTAATCACTGAACCAACTAGTGGACTCTAGCAACAGGGTTAATGGTAATCGATGAACCAACTAGTGGACTACAGCTGGGGTTATTGGAAAAGATTGGACCAGCCAGAGGACTCTAGCAACACAAGGTTAATGGTAATCGCTGAACCAACCAGAGGACTCTAGCAACAGGGTTAATGGTAATCGCTGAACCAACCAGAGGACTCTAGCAACACAAGGTTAATGGTAATCGCTGAACCAACCAGAGGACTCTAGCAACACAACGTTAATGGTAATCACTGAACCAACCAGAAGACTCTAGCAACACAAGGTTAATGGTAATCACTGAACCAACCAGAGGACTCTAGCAACACAAGGTTAATGGTAATCACTGAACCAACCAGAGGACTCTAGCAACACAAGGTTAATGGTAATCGCTGAACCAACCAGAGGACTCTAGCAACAGGGTTAATGGTAATCACTGAACCAACCAGAGGACTCTAGCAACACAAGGTTAATGGTAATCACTGAACCAACCAGAGGACTCTAGCAACAGGGTTAATGGTAATCGCTGAACCAACCAGAGGACTCTAGCAACAGGGTTAATGGTAATCGCTGAACCAACCAGAGGACTCTAGCAACAGGGTTAATGGTAATCACTGAACCAACCAGAAGACTCTAGCAACAGGGTTAATGGTAACCGATGAACCAACTAGTGGACTACAGCTGGGGTTAATGGTAATCAGCAACAGGGTAAAAATTGGACCAACCAGAGGACTCGAGCAACATGATTAGTGCTGGGCATTTGATCAAGCAGGAGATTCTATCACCAGGATTACTGGTAGCCACTTAACCAACCAGAAGACTTGGTAAACTGTTGTGACTTCTTTCTGAAATAGATTCTTTCTTCCTCTAAAACTGATTTTCAATTTGGAAAGGTTAAAATAACTATTGTTAGATTTGAAAGACTTGCATCTTTAATTTGAAAGGTCTTTCTTTTCTAACCATTCCTGGATAATTAACAGGACTTATCCTAAAGTGATTAACATTCTTCAGCTGTAGGGCAATGGGGCAGCCTGAGAAGCGCCATTGTGCTTCAGTACACCATCTCCCCATTCTTTTGCTGTTATTTACAGTGTGATGATCAAATTGTCCCCATTTTGACGAGCAAGGAATCTGGCCACTTGAGTTAGAAACTCATTACACGGACTCACAGAGAGTTAGAAGTTGTGAAAAAAGTTTTGAAAATAGAATTCTCTTGCTGCTTGCAGATCAATACAATAATGAAGGAGAGTGTGTTTTGGTGCCCTGCTCCAGGTACAGCAATGTGATTGGCTGAGATCACAGTAATCTTGGTGAATGTTTGGTACACTTGATTGTCAAGAGCTAGATGTATTTTCTACATTTGCACTGATTCTAAAATAATGATTATTCAGCCCCTTGGGTCATATATAGCTAGATATCGAGCGCTATACAAATGTTAGTATGTATATATATATGTTTTATTCACAGGCCTGTTTTCTCAGGTTATTGGATGGTAAAGTGTATGTAGACGTGAATCCATGACAGTGTAAGCGGCATCTTACAATAGCAACACTGAAAATCACCTTTAAATCTGTGGGGATTATTTTTCTAATTTTGCAATGAAGTGAATGAATAGTTATACAAGTTTT